AACTACTTCGTGGTGACAGAGCTACATCGGACCTGATGCCGTCCCACTCCAGAGAGGAACGCCTGAGTCTACAGCTCGGACATCATTTTCGTGCCTGACTATTCTGAGCAGCGGGCAGCGTCTGTGATCCAGCGGCAGTCGTTGACCTTACGGTAAGGTGATTCTTTGACGTGTGCCCGCCATGGATACAGACAGCGCAGAGCGGCAGATGCCGGTTCTAACGCCAGAGCAGGATAGGGTTCGAAATTGGAATGTTGACGGGCAAGGTGAATTGTCATCTTTGAGTGGATTAGTGGCAAACTCGCAGACACAAGGGGATGGGAATGGAGGAGTCCGATCATACAGCTCAATCGAAAAGGAGATTGAACTAGTAAGGGAGAAAGAACGGCTGTTACGCCTCGAGCTAGAACTAGAGCATCTACGCTCAGAAAACCGAAGGCGAGCCAGTGGAGGCGGCATGGAGTTCAACCTCCGAGATGAAGTTTTTCGCTTCTCGAGATTGATGAAGGGAGTGCTGACTCCCATGCCGTCGTCCGACTTATTAGTGCCGAGCTGGTTTGATGGCGTAGAAAACGTCTTCGAGACATATGAAGTCCCTGAGCGGCTCAGAGGATATCTTGTGCGACCTTATTTCACGGAGAGCATGCGTGCACTAGTGAATAGGGTGAATACGGGTGAGAGAAGTGGGTATGGTGCGGTCAAAGAACGGGTCTTGTTAGAGCTCGGACTGTCGCGAGCTGAGGTCTGGAGGCCCTTTATTGAAACCACCACTTCTCTCAAGGAAAAACGCGAGAGCCCAAGGCAGGGCATCGTACCGGAAAATTATCGGGTGAAGTGTTTTAAATGCAAGGAATTGGGCCACTATTCCCGCGAATGTCCCCGGACGAAGACACCAGAAGAACTTCTGTTTCACAAGAAAAGAGTAGACGCCAAGAATGTCACCGTGGAGGAAGATTCCAGTCGTGAGCCCGACAAGGTGACGACCGAGGTGGGCAAGACCGATGGTACCAACTTGGACAACCAAGATCAGAAGAGGTGGGACCCATCGGTCCGCGAGGTGCCTCAGATTCTGTTACAAGCCGACGACACGAAACGGTCGTCGAAGAACAATCGCTGCTGCGTGTCTGTGCAGGCGGACGTTGACGACAGAAATGAGCTGAACGTCTCGCGTGCCTGGAGGACGTCACAGCGAGCCGAGGATGACCACGACGAGCAGGTGAACGTCGACGACGAAAGGCCGTGCACTTGGCCTGGGCGGCAGGCGTCCCGGCGATCTGAGGACGACCCATGTGTGAACTTCGACAACGTCTTGGCCGGTCCCGACATCTTACCTGGGTTGCACAAGTTCCTACAAGCCAATAACGACGACGTTGAGAACGTGGGCGCCGGTTACAAAGAAGAACCGAGGGTATCTTCTGGGAGGCGGAAATGCCGGCAAGTCAAAGATGACGACGGCGAAAACGTGGACGGCGACGAAGGACCGAACTTATCGTCTGGGCGGCAGGCGTTCCGGCAAGCCGAGGACGACGACGGCGAGAACGTGGACGACGAAGGACCGAACTTATCGCCTGGGCGGCAGGATGACCATGACGAGAACGTGAACGTGGACGACAAAAAAGAACCGGATATTTTGCTTTGTTGGCAGACGTTCTGGCAAGCTGATGACGACCACGGCAAGGAAGTGGGTGTCGACAAGAAGTCGGACATCTTGTTAGGGTGGCTGACGTCACCGCCGGCCGGTGAAGGTGTCAGGGAAAGCGGGGACAGTGACGAGGACACCGTCTTCGAGATGAAGATGTCCCAGATTATAGCTAAGGACGCCGATGAAGACTCGACCACCTGCCAGCCGGCCACGTATGAGAGAGCTGGGAGTGTAGAAGGCGTCGACAACGGCGACCACCTGCGAGGCCCTTTCCTGATTCGTAAATCAAGACAGAGTATAAACTGTCGTCGCTCTTGCGCGGAGAAATTCCGGAAACAGCTACACACCGTCCGATTCAAGCCCCGCCGAAATCTGGGTGGCTTGAATAACCTGTCGGCAAAGAGGCCTAGGCTAGGAGGCTAGATGCTGCGCTAGTCTCGGCGCGAGATTTGTCGCTGCTTTGGAGCCTTGGCGGGCACAGTAAGAATCACTTTACTAGCATATGATTTGCATATTGGGGGAAATTTCTCTTATAGTTTGGATTCTTGCGGGTCGAGTCACAAACTCTGTGCAAGGTGTGACTGATATGCGTTCGCGTTTGAGTTTAGATGTTATATATATTATTTTTGACATTTCGGGTCTAAAAAATATACTTAGTCGGGAGGTGTGAGAATCGGCCCCGCCATCACCGTGGGTGGACGCGGGAACAGGACCGAGCTTCTTTTTCTTTCCATTGCGTGTTGGCGTTTGCACGTGCGCCCCTGTGTGTGGGTGAACTGGCGACGCTCGTGCGAGCTGGGGCAGGGGACGCTTTGAGAGGAGAAGAAGACAAGGACAGCACGGGCGGTAACCTTTTTGGGACATTCGAAAATGAGCTTCGCTTGTAAATAGACGTGTTTTGTTTTTCTCCTATCCGCGGAGTCCTGTCTGGTTCACTCTTCCGCCAGCGACCATCAGCTGCCTCCGCCGTCGGGTCCCGGCGCAATCTCCAAGAAAGAACATCTTCACTCTCTGCAAGAGTTTACATTTAGGATTAAGTATATAAAAGGCAAAGACAATATCGGGGTGGACTACTTGAGCAGAGTTTGATCGACAAAAAGGGGTAGGGTGGAATTTTTTTTTTTGTAGATATGATAATATTTATACGCATGATGGAAGTATAGCGTGATACAGTAACGGATAGAAGTGCTTTAGCGGCGGCAGTGAAATGCAGCTGATGTGCTGGTGTACCTGAAATTGTGAACTGGGTGCGGGCCAGATATAAAACGTTCAGGGTGTGAAAGTGATGCGCAAACTGGTGAATCAACACAGGGACGTAAACAAAACAAAAAGGGGGATGATGCATCAACGTGGTGTAGAAATTTAGTACGACTAAATTCTGGAGGAGGGGGTAAATGTCGTGCTGCAACAGAAAAAAATGGAGTAGAAGAGGAAAACGTCGAGGGAGCAGGCCGGAGGAGAAGGGAGCGAAAAAGAGGAAGAAGAGGGGTTCTTGTTCGGCGGTAACCCGACCAGGTGGAAGCACACCCGGCAACGTCCCGAGGGTGCTACTGTCGGGTGAAACATCAGCTTGGCGGTGTGCAACCAAAGCGGCAACATCCGGCATGAACGAGGCATTCGGCAGCGATCCGAAGTAGCCGCTGGTGGGAAAGACTATCGACTTCGGCGGTGTCCCGGAGCAGAACATCCCAGACCAGCCCCAAGGAACATCACGGGGAACGACTTCGGCGGTGTCCCGGAGCAGAGCATCCCAGACCATCAACAAGGAACCACACGCACCAACAACCAAGCGCTGCTGAAAACAAGACAGCACCAAGACCTTCAGCCACACAAGGACGGACTGAAAGTGAGACAATTTCTGACCTGTAGAGTTGTGTATAGCTAGAACGTTTCTTATTTTTTTGTTAATTTTTTTTAATATATATATATCTTGATCAAACCTCACGGTGTGACTGAATTCCTCCTTCGGCGGTTTGACCTGAACCTATAACATCACACATACCCACAAAACCACCGAGCAACGCGATGACGCAATTTTGGCCCTGCATTGGCATCGGGCCGTAGCGTTGGTTGCGGTCGAACAACGGGGCACAGTTCCCTTGACGAAGCATTGCTTTTCCGCAAATCGCTTCGTCTCATCGAATGCCGTAAATATATTTGTGCTCGACATTTCGATGCAATTGAAGATTATCGTCTACGTTAATATTCTGCCTCCCAAAAACACGCACCAAAATAAAAATATACAAGCAAACTTTTTTTTTTTTTTTTAATTTAGACAGGACCTGGCAGTAAGAGTGCTCAAACTGCGGAATAACCAATTATAACCGACCTGCTGTTTATGTAGGCTTCACTATATACTTTATTTTACTCTAAGCCACAGGCCAACCGACGTTACGAGACAACGGGTCATTCAAGCAGAGTTGAAAAGCCCGAAGTCACGGCTTGTGTCGTCTTTCCGTGCTTATTCTATCACCGGCGGCTAAACCAACCGAGCGGAATTAATGCGCCCGGATCTTGATCTTCTATTTTTGTTATCTGCGCTCGTATGTCTTCAAGCCTTCGACAGCGCTTTGACTTTTCTAAAAATGCTACAAGCTTGCTTTTGTCATGCTGACAAAAACTGGTGAGCACAGAATGTGTAACTGACCTTAATGAGTGACTGACATTTCGGCAGTGGCGTACCTACTTGTTTTTGAGTGAGGGGGGGGAGAGGGGAAAACCCGACCCCCCCCCCCCCCCCCAGGGGCAGGAGGGCAATGCCCTTGGTATACTTTGGGCGCCGCCGACCAGTGTTTGCCCTGCTCAGTGGCGTAGTAGGGGGGCAAAACGCATGCCTTGCCCCCCCCCCCCCCTCTGAGACCTGGGGGGGGGGAAGGGAAGGAAGCGCCCCCTTTGCCCCCCCCCCCCCTTCCCCCCGGTTGGTACGCCTATGCCCTCCGGGGAAGAAAAGAAGGCCATCTGAACGGAAGCGCCCAACGAGGATTTACTCTCCTTGCTGTCACATGCCGTGAGATTCTGCATCATGACAGGAAAGGCCGCGAAGCGCACGACCGCGTGTTCGCGCGTCGCGCGAATGACTTCGCTTTTGCATGTTCCGTCCGACCGCCGATCCATGGGCAATATCAAAGTGGCGAATTCAAATTCTGCTGAGAGACTGATTTCTTTATTTTTTTCTTCAATGTGGTTTCCTACTGGCGTAACGCTTTTCGACGTCCGTTTTTCTTTGGAGCACGCTGTCACAGCCAAACGTTACAGAACTCAATTGAAATCGGCTGACAAAACACGTTATGCGTTAACAAGTAGCCATATGCGTTATTGATCACACTCGAGTTTTACAAAACTTCCATCGACTGCTCAGGAGGCTGTTCCTGGACCTGCTGTCAGCTACCGGAACAAATCCTCACGTGGCGTTTGGTCTGCAACTGATCAAGGAAGACAAGCTCTCGGACGATGAGGCTGAACACTTCCTCTCCACACTGGCCCTCCACCTCAAAGAGAACAGCCCTGCCCTTATAACCGAACTTTCCGTACGTTAAATCGTTGCGTGCTTTCGAACCATGAGGAAACTGGCGTCGCGAAGTGAGGCGCTCACAATGAAGTTCATTTTCCCATCTTGCACGCCTACTCAACTTACTACGATAAAAACAAAAGAGGCTTTCGTCTGTTCTTGCATTTCAGCTCGCCGTTTGTCACAATAATAAAATATATCGTAAGAGACATTATTCTTTCTAGCTAAACCTTAATGCTATTGCTGACTCGACGATGCCAATAAGCCACGGACTTCTTAACGTTCCGTTACATCGCATAAAAAACGAACAAAACTGCAGGAATTCTTTGCACACTCGATGTCACAAGGCAGTTGCGACACTGTAATACAAGCCTGCTCTGGTTATTTTGGTTAAAGATTAATCTATCCAATATTTAAGACATGTATCAAACTATTTCTAGTTTTATATTCCGATCTCTTCAATACCTTTTGTGTATGATTTGTATGACAGTTTTCGCTTTCGTCGCTGTTCTTGCAGGAAGCTTGTGAGCACGTGAAGCCTAAGCGACAAGTGTGGGTTAACTGCCAACTCGCTCTGAGCAGCCTCGCAGGCCAGGAGGGTTGCGTCCGTGCCAAGACGGACAGCGAACACGACGAGGGACTCTGCAAGCCATCTTTGGTTTCGCACTTCTTTAACGTGAGTGTTGCACGGGAGGAACTGAACCGGTTTCTTTCACGGTTCTTGATCACCAGCTTCATCCCCGATAGCCATTCAGAGTATAATATTTTTTGTAAGCAGTTTCTCATTCCGCCGTTTCATCGCCTCATCTCAACTCAAACATATTGTATTTCAGCAGGATCAGGCGGCATGCTTGAAACTTCTATCTTCGATACCCATATTCCATTACCTAAAATAATTCATTTCCTAGAGTTATACTCAGATTTGTGTCTAAGATAGCTGGATATATCGACAAAATCTCACCCGCCTACATTTCTGAAAGCAGGCACTCACCGCGCACTGAGGGATTCTGCCTTCCTTTCCACTGTCGAAATATTCGTACAACCGATTTAATTTCATTTTATCAGTATCTGCAATTAAGCTTTCGTTTACGTGCACCGAAGACTTGCCTTGCCTTTCCCTACAGTATCAGATCAAACCTGAAGACAAAAAAGACCAGCCGGAATACAAGAGGACGGTGTACATGAAGGCTGCGGGCAATTTGGCCACCAGGGGCGCCGTGCACTACCTGGAGCGCTACGTCTCGGATACAAACCAGCCGGAGTACCGGAGATCCGCCGCCCTCTGGGCTCTGAAGCGATCTAGCAAGCACCACCCCGAACTGGTAATGTCCTGACCATTAACGCACGCTAGGGTCACTAAATTCACCTTCAGAGTAGTGACATTTCAGCCATCTTGTCGCTGAAATCATTGTTGTCAGTTACCGGAAGCCTTACTTCAAATCGTAGAAAACGCCTTTTTTTTTTTTTTTTCCTTCGCCCTTAAAGGGTAACGGCAAAGAAAAAAAAAATTTTTTTTTTTAAACAGCCTAATTGGGACAAGCATGTCAAAAAACAATTTTTCCGCGAGAAAAAACAATTTTTACAGCAATATTTATTGCGTGAGACTGATTTTAGTTTGCGGCTATTTCGCCCGTTTTAAATCGCGCGCCACGAAGTTGGGATTCTGTGACGTTGCATCCCAATTGGCAGCTATACTTCTCATTGGCTAAGGGTTTGATTGACAGCTTAGATCTTGGTTATGAAATTTTTGTTATATGTTGCAATTTCCTTTTGAGCGGCATATTTTTACGTTTAAACAATAACTCATGTGATGAGAGTTATTATTCTTTACAAAAGGTTTACAAGACGGGCACTTCCGTTTTAATTCATACCATAACAAACAAAAGCTTCGCCATTCTTTCATGGCCACCGAAGTCTCCGCTCCCGCCTGTCTCGCCTACCTCGACTAATCGTTTCACCGAAGTGATCCGTGCTATGACCGGCTAGATCAACCACGCACATAAACAAGCGCAGGATCGCGGCGCATTAAGTGTGCGTGATTTATGTAGTCGGTAAAAGCAGAGGCGCAGAAGCGATGAGCGCCTTGAGAATAAACTTCTTGACGCCGCTTGATCGGCTTCATATCGGATTGTGAAGTGTCTGCTGGGGCCGGACTTGAAGTGAAACGAAGTAGAACCCGAGCCCCGTTCTTCCACGCAGGTGCGGGACGTCGCACTTCCGGTGTACGTAAACACGAGCGAGTCGTCGTACCTGCGCATCGCGGCGGTCACGATCGTCCTCACGACCAATCCGGACCTCTACCTGCTCAAGCACATCGGTCACGACATCATCGACGACCCCAGCGACCAAGTGGCCTCTTTCGTGACCAGCATGTTCCGTAGCGTCGAGAAATCCAAGTACCCTTGCCACCAGGAGCTGTGAGTCTATCTCGTTTGCCCCTCAAAAAACAACGAAAATGCAGCCTCATGAAAAACCCATCGAGCAACATCGGGCGCGAAACGCTCCATTGGATACGAGTCCTCCCCGAACTCTGACGTCACGCTCGTATCCAACACGAGCTGAGCCGAGCTCACGCCGAACGCTCCCGCAGACCTCGCGTCCAATCTATGCTCAGAGAACGTGCTCGAATAATGGAGGACTCGGATACTTGGTGGAGCAGCGGAGCGGACCAGTGGCAGAGATAATGGTGAACTGCTTTTTTTTTCAGTCGCGTGCTCAAATGGGCTTTCCGTCGCTATCATTGCTAACACCTCGTAGACAGCTTTCAGGCCTGCGCGGCACGTGACGTGACGTCACGTCCCGGAGGCTTCCACGAGCGCTGATAGGATGCCAGTGCCGCATCAGCCTTCGCGAGGGACTATAATAGGAAACGAGTCCCACGCGAACGTTGACGCGGTACTCGCATCCAATCAACGCCCGTGCAGGCCTCCGGGGAGTGACATCATGTCACGTGACGCGCGGGCTTTGAAAGTTGTCTAGGAGGTGTTGTTATTGCACGTCAATTGGCTTGCCGTCGGCCGCTCTGCCTTCTCCCTCTTTTTGCAGTTATGGGCCTCCCTTCCATCTACGTCCCCTTCACCCAAGGAGATTATAAGTACTAGGGGCACGTTGCAATATTGATGAAGCCTAGTCATAAAGAGTTTAAACGATGTTGTGGCCAACATGACCGTAGATCTCTCTGGCAGTTGGTGCGCGTGACATGTCACGTGTGAGATGGATGGTTGATTGTAGAGGGATTCCTTGCAGGCTTGCGCGCGCTCTATCCGGTAGGTTTTATCAGATTAAAGGCTAGACGAAGGCTAGATACGGTCACGTGATGTGGTCATGTTGGGCTGATGAGTGAGGAGAGTAAGGAGGATAATGAGAAAGAGGCGAGGCGTCAAGGGAGCATGGCTTGTGTAGGCTACACGGCTGACGTCCATGCCCTCTCCTACCCTTCTATCCTCCTTACCTTCACCCCTCCTTTCCCAACCAATGTCTCTGTCGCTGGAGTTTAGCTGGTTTCGAAGAAATGTTGTGTGGACTGAAAGCGTGTAGATGTACGTCTCTGTCCCCCGTTTCTGTTTTGCTTTCTTTGTACTGAGTGTTAATCCAACACGCTCGTCAAACTCACCACAGCTATAGGACGGCGCGCACTTTCGAAAACAGTCGATTGTGATCTCGAAAAAAAAACTATGGATCTAACGAAAATATACTTCGTGTGCAGGCGAACTGGTTCAAGTTTACCATGGTGATATTAACCTGAGATTGAGGCGCGAGAACAAATAAACTGTAGTGGGAAAAAAGGACTGACGACGTCTCAAAATCTGGCAATGCGTTTATTCAAACACCGTTTTCATAGATATAGACAAAACCATAACTCCACCAGACCGGAGAACAACCTGTTTTCAAAAACACACAAAAAACAAAACTTGTTAAACTATTTTTATGGTAATATTATTATGCTAGAGTATTGCCGCGTCAAATCTCTTTTAGTAGAAAAGCGAGAAACTCCAACGCTAACATTTCGAAACATCCTAAAGTCTTCCGAAGACGATTGAAGGCAACTACTCTTACTTAGATAATGACGTGTATTATAGTGATACCAAAGAAGCTAATAACAAAATTGTTTCCAATACACTCTACTCAACCTTCGCGCTTTCCCGCAAAAAAAAAAAAAAAAGTTGAAATTTTTTTACAAGGAAAATAGACAGTAACTTTGGAGCTGGGGGGCAAAAATAAACGGACTTTTGTTCTCTTGTTCTTGATTCTTACGTGCCACGGGTATGTGACCTTAGGCAACCTGTGCCTTCTTGAGGGTTTGTGCGCCTATTGAAGGGGGTGTTCTGAAAAAAAAAATGTTTTAGCTGTGTTCCGAGTTTTGTGTCTGTCCGTCCCTCTTTGTCCCCTAGCTCCAGGGTGACTATGTCTGTCCTTAACCAGCTCGCCTGGCTGCTTGCTTTAACTTCAAGAAAAATAGGGGCGACGTCACCTTTCGGTCCTTCATGCTTCTTTGTTGTATCTTCAAGTTTTTGAGAAAGTCGTGACCCAGACTGGCAACCGGAATGCGAGGTTGAAATACCACACTTCGGACTCTGACAAACTGAGAGAAAATAGAGCTTGTATGGTGACTGCAGACGCAAAGAAAGGCGGGATCGCGCGTTTCGGGTCATACTGATTGTGATAGTGCAAGTGCTTACCGGGATGCGTCCTTTCACCAGGGCCCAGCACCTTCGCTACGTCGTACCCATGTGGAACGACGTACCCCGGTTCGACAAGCCCCTCGACCACACCAAGTCCCAGCTCCTCATCTCATCTGGTTACGACCGTAAGTAAAGCCAAGTTCACACACTTGTGACCTCTTAAAATAACTCATGGTAAGAGCACACGAAACAGGTCATCCTAATATCTTTTCTCACATTTCCCCACAGCCAAGTACGACTATGGGGGTGCAACGACGTTCGGTCAAATCCGAGCGGACGATAGCTACCTGCCAAGAGAGGTGTACCTTGGGTTTAAGCACTACTACAGCGGCGCCTCGTACGAAACAGCCTCGCTGTGGTTTGAAAGCTGGGGCATGGACAAGCTGCTGAACCACGCCATCGGGCCCCGCCCCGGATCTACCGCGAACATGTGGAACGTCTTTGGGCGGCGTCGCTTCCCGAGGGATGCCTCGGCAAAGGAGCTCAAAGAGATTGAGGATGCTGTGAGTACCTTTCCTCGAACGAATGTCAACCTTCATAAAAACAGATGGTTTATAAATGGATAATGCGTTCCTTACATAAAAATAACCTGAGATAAAACGGATGCTTCATTCTCGAAGCCTTGTTAATGAGGAGCATAGAAAAACGGTTGTCTTTCACTTAATTAATCACAAGATTATAGAGCCATAGGTATACGGTTAGAAAGAGCTCCAAACGGGAGTGTTTATCTTTGAGGTAAAACTACCATCACTTTAGAATGCCATTTTTTTAATATCGATTGCAGCTAAAAAGTTTGCAATCATGGCAAATTAATAACTTATAACTAGGGTTCAGAGTTTTCAATTTAAACCGATAAAAACAGATAAAGGTACGCCGAATCCATTTTCGCAAATTCGGTCTTAACCGAAAAAGGTCAGTTTTTAGGTTCGCGGCATTTTCGATTTAAACCGATAAAAGTGCGCCAAATCTATTGTCGGAAATTCGGCTTTAACCGAAAAATGTCAGTTTTTAGGTTCGGCATTTTCAATTTAAACCGATAAAAATCCATAAAAGACGTCGAATTCATTTTCTTTTTCAAGTTTTAACCTGAAAAGGTCACTTTACCGTCAAGTCGTACCGCAGAGCCATGGCAAAAAAAAAAAAAAGTGAAACGACAGTGTCTATCGAAACGTATCCGAATATATGGGATACACAGATGCCATCACGACGTTTTGGTTTAATGTGCGCATCATCGATCGAAACGTGAAGTCCGAACTGCCCCATGACTTCGCCATGTACGAGCGTGTTTTCGAACTCGGAAGACTGACTTGATGCAAGCTCTGCATGTTGTGTTGTGCTTCAAAACGTCGCACTGTGTCTCTTTTGGCGGTCACAATTGGTTGATTGGCCGATTTCGGCTGAGACAGCGCTTCATCTCCTCAGCCTGTCAGTGTCCAGTGTTAGCGTTGAGAGGGCATTCTCGAAGCTCAGTGTCATATTAACCGGAAAGAAAAACTGTGGAACAATGAGGAGAACCTCGGAAAGTATATGTGTGTGTACCAAAATAAGATAACGTAATCCTGATGTACAGAAGGCGAAGTTCCATGTTTTTGGGCATAGGCTTCATATCTGACTTGTTTGTACTTCTGTGTTTTTTTTTTCTTGTTTCTTTTACAGTTGCCCACATTTGCCAAATAAAGTGTCCATTCCTTTTTCAATATATCTGTGCCGTTATTCTTTGAGTGATCACAAATATCAGAACTACAGGGATCATCTGATCCCGTGTTCCTTTCGTATTTATCTTAAATTCACCGAAAAAGGCCGACAAACTTTTGTGGGTATAAATATACGCCGAAAAATACCGAAAATTGAATTTTAAAATAAACACCAAAAAAGGTACGCCGAATTTTGAAAAAATAGAAACCAAAAACGGCGAAACCTTACTTATAACTATCCCTGCCAATTACTCGATGGCGATAACTGTCTAGGAGCTCTTCAGTCTCGGTGTTAGGTCGAGAGCGACGGACATGAATACGAATTAGTTCATCCGAAATCGTAAACTGAGCAGTTGCACCACGCTTCAAATGCTTGAGTAATCAGCCGTCAATGACTGTGGGGTCACGACACGTGCGCGGGCACTGATAAGTTTCTGTTGGGGAGCGGTGCAACGATGCAACTTGTTTCTAACAAATGGGTGATTGAGCTTGCTGATGACGGCCTTCGAGAATGTGTAGTTTATATTTAAGTTGTATAGCAAAAATATTTGTTTTTTAAACGTAGTCTAAACACGAAGCACCAAATGTGTTCAGTTTCTTCCCTGATTCCTTCCCGTAGCTTCCCGTAACCGATCGAGAGTACGATCATGTCTACGGCAGACTCAGCCTCGATCTCTTCGGTCGCGCCATCGACACCTTTGAGTTCGACGAGAGTCTTTTTGAAGAAGCTGCCAATGCAAGGGGTAAGTTTTTAGATTCATTCAGGCATGAAGTGCCTACAGGGAAACAGCTGTATTAAAGTGCAAGCAAACTGGAATCGTTTTTATAGCCCGAGTCGCCAGCACCGATCTCCACGCAAGAGTCAAGCAAAAGCGCTGCATCGTGCATTCCTTCGGTTTAAAAAAAAGAGGGCGTTTATGCCTGCAAAGCGAAGTGATGGGCTTACTGTCGTGACATGGTGAACCAGGGACAAGTAACAAGAGTTAAACCATATTACGAGGTTTATCTACTAAATCAGGTTAATGTGTGCCATGATGATTCATGGCTCCAGCATGTCGCATACGGAATTGTAAAAAGTAGTAAAAATCCTGGTCGCACATCTAAGTTCTACTTAAGATGGTCCACACTAAACTCAAAAGTATCAGAGGCTGGTAATAAGAACTTGGCAAGGAACAATTTACATAGCCTCAATATGACAGTCAATATTCCACTGGTACATTGCTTGTGCCAACCCAAAGTCGTTGCGTATCGATATGACAGTGAGTGTGCAGGAGAACTGGTGATAATGGATCATAACGCAACACCTGAAGCTCTGACGCGGTAAAATTAAGAAACTTTTAAGTCGAACAAGTATACAACACAATGTTGTTGTCTTTTGTTTTCGAATTAAATATTCTTTAATGTTTCCGCACCGCGTTCTCAGGCGTTACGTTATGAGTAGTGGAGCATGTCATGAAATTATTACTCCGATTTCGAGGTTTCCCTAAAGCTTCCTTTTTATGATTGTCACTGCCTAAATAACTCGAGGGCCTTTAACCATTGGCCACAAACCTGCTCGGAATACTTTGCTAATTACAAACAAAACTGAGTACGATGATCTAACTTGAAGAAGGTTCCATGCGCAAACAGACACGAACACAAAAGTGGGGACACTGACAAACGCCTCTTTGTCTTCGTCTCAGTTTGCGCATAAAAGTATCCTTATCATCATGCCCCAACTAGCCCAACAACGAGTCTTGGAATTCATCTCACGGACCGTAGCTATCTGTTTGTGCCTCACTTTTGACAGAAAACCCATTGGACATTTTGAAGAACCAAGTGGGGAAGGTGCAACGTACGAAGAGCTTCCACCTGAGTAAGGACTTTGCCATTGGGATGCCCAGCGAGCTTGGCGTCCCCATCTTCATCGAGCACATGCAAGTCGGATTCACCTACATCAACCGCCAGAAGTTTGCCATGGATGCGACGGAAGATGGCAAGTTCTCCCTCGATTTCAAGAGGCACTACGTGTAAGTTATTATTTCTATTTACGTTACCCACTGTGTTAGAGCGTTGGTGCCTGAATTCTAATCCGAACGCTCAGCAAGAGTAATGTTCAGAAGTCCTCACTAAAGTAGATATACAACATTGAAGCCTATTTTCCCCAAATTATTTGTTCGTAAAAAAAAGCTGCCGGCCTCGTTGCTTCCTCTACTGTATTAACGCAAAAGCATTAACTGCCCGTGAAGCGAAGCGACGTCATCAGCTTTGAAACCACGCCCAACCGTTGGCCAAACGGCACCTGAAATCTCCTTATCTAAGTGAAGCCGATTAATGATGGAATATGCTCCCATTGGCTGCCGCACGTCATCAAAAAACGAAGCTCCCATCGGCTCTCGTGTGGCTTAATTAAGGATACAAAGCCACCAGAGAAGCCTTCTTCATGGCGGCGCAGCGCACGCAGCGGCGCGGGAGGAGGGAGCGGTGGCGGTAGAGCCAGGGCCCGTCCGGGCAGACTCCGGAGAGGCTGCACGGCCGAGCTCACCGCGGCGCAGCCACTTCACGAGAGCCCGCGCTCGCCCGTCCGCCGCCGACACGAGGCCGTCCACGTCCCTACGCCGCAGACGAACTAAGAGAGCGGAAGAACGACATAGATGCTTTCGCATTCGCAACTCATAAAAAGTGCCTATAAGTGTCCTCAATTCTTTTTCTTTTCTTTTTTTTTTTTTGCGGGTTGAAGATTTTTTAAATGCGCGAGGTTTGGGTTTCGGGAATATTTGGTGGGCACAAAATTTCGCGATTTTGTCTGATGTATATTAGTTAGCATCATAAATTGGCGTTTATGAATTTGAAGCAATATTTGCCAAGACGTGAAGTTTGCGAAAATTGGGTCCTCGTTAAACATTAGGCTGCTTATGGTATTATATAGGTAATGGCGTAACTAGAGTTCCTGTATAGGCGCCCTACGGGAGCCAGAGTTGCGCGTCTGTTTATCACGTGCCGCCGCGCCGCTATTCGCCGAAATCCGATCACGTGAGGAGCCGGATCAAGTGCCGCGCAGGAAAGTAGACGTTGAGCGCGCCCCGGTGCACGTTGCCCTGCTTTTGAGCGCGCCGCGCACCTCGAACGCGCGGCGCCGCTATTCGTCAAATTCAGTCACGTGAGGAACAGACTCCAAACGCCGTTGAGAAAAGCCGGCGCTACGGGGATGAACTCGCAACTCCTGAGCCCGTTGGGAGCCTATACAGGAACTCTAGGCGTAAGCAGAGCCGTATATGTACTATGTAGAGAGTTTGGCCATTCATTGGGAAGTATAGGACACAAATGGGGAGACGCGATTGGCCGAAAGCGTGCCGGGCGTGTTCCAGTGCGTCTTCACAGATTCGAATGTGGCCAGCCAGAAGCCGAAAATAATACCCTAACGGTGGATGCGATAAAAAAAAAAAAAAAAAAAACTTAATAAGTGCGTCGGAGTAACTCTCGGTGACTGAAAATATGGTGCACGTGATGTTTCAATCACGGTCATCCAAAATCATGGTGGAAGGGCGCGACTAGCGGAGCGATCGACATAATCCGTACGCCAAGCGCCGAGGGACGAGGATCTACCGTCTGAGCGGTGGTCACACTCTGTCCGAGCAAAACAGAGTCGAGCGGCGCATTCGTTTCTTACATCTTTCTGCATAATCATGATCGAAACATCACGTGCACCCTATTTTCAACCACGAAGGGTTACAACACTTCACTCTTGCGCGCAATATTAAAACTATATACCAACATATATCTTTGATTAAAACAGTTTCTTGCTACTCCCGCTAAGGGATTTTTTTAGGCTTCTGGTTGGCGAAGAGAGCACGTCAAGCCCACTTTTTGCGTCTGGTGCACGCCCTGGCTCTGCCCACGCCTCCCATTGACCAAACTCTCTCTATACACGGCTCTGGGCGTAAGCTAACTGAAGCTCCCTCTAGTGAGTGTGTAAGGTATTTTCAATCAAATCAAAAAGCACATTTCTAGTCAATTTTTAACTATAATGAGAGTAAATATCTTCGCACCACAAATGTATGCATTCATATAATGTGAAAAAGAAAGTTGTAGATGCATCCGAACGCTCGAAGTGCACTAAAATTTTAAATCAGAAGCGGCATATTTTGCTACTCAAAATGTAAACAAATATGGCGACACGCACCTCTTTCTGCCAACGCACCAAGAAAGACGAGTGCCGGCATCTTTTATGACCTTGTAAAAATAGTTGGTGAAAAATAATTGCTATTGTGGGTTATGAGTTGAGGAATCAGAATCATGAAAAATGTACGTATATCCATACGTATATACGTGTATAGTGTCCCTTTAACTAATTGGAGAAAAGACGCTCATTTAAAATTACTACTCACTTAAACAACGTAACATGCCCTAATAGCGTGATATAACGACAAACTATTTTTTTTACTCATTTAATCAGTAGAGAAATTTACCTCCCGCCCGCGTTGTTGGTGTCTTCATTGTTCCCGCCATTTTTTGCACTTTTTTATTACGTTTCAAATAATGATCCAACTAGCTGAATCCAAAATATTAATTGAACATATTCTATAAATAGAGTTTATATATATATATATATATATATATATATATATATATAGGCGTCAATGAACTCACGACTGTGGAAACGTATTGTTGTGAATATTGTAGATTTTGCCCTCCGGTTGATTACTGAGGCTGCAAGATAACCAGCGAGCTCGTTCAACTTGTGGTTCATCCCCTATTGTTTCAAATGTTACCATAGTCGTCGACAGGCTTAGAAACTCGGGGTGTAGCGAATTCCGAGAATCCTATTGACCCTTCGCAGCCAATACAATTGCGGTATTAGCCAAAGAGAAACCCGAATAACCAATGGTGAAGCGAGACGGGTGAACTTAGAAGTTCACGCCCTGCGTGCGCTGTCGGTAACAATAGTATCTCCGCGCGTGGCGGTGCCACTCTAAAAAAAGCCCGTGTGTCTACCTTCCAGCACGACACTCGGAGAGCCAATCAGCGCAACTTACGGAGGCAGCCGAACGAGTAACATATATTTAGACCCCCCCCCCCCCCAAAAAAAAAAAGAAAAAGAAAACACTGTATGAGTTGTGACATTAAGCAATGCAAGCGTGACTTTGCTTAGTATCACAACTCAGACTGCGTTTTTTGATCTAGACTTATGTTTCCGCGTCGTCATTCGCTGAGCTGCCTCCGTAAGTTGCGGTGATTGACTCTCCGAGTGTTGTGCGGGAAAGCAGACGCACAGGCTATTTTCAGAATGTGTGGGGGGGGGGGGGGGGGGGGGGGGTATTTTCAGAGTGTGGGGGTAAGCGGAGGAATCCTGGAGTTGGCTTAAAATATTTATCACCGGCATGAAGCAATTCAGTGATTGATATTCAAACATCGTATATTTGGTGAATTTCGCGCAACTAATCATCCAATGTGGTTTTTGTTTTTGTTTGTATTGCTGTGTCGAAATATGCAATGTTGCCTCGATTATTCTGATAAACGCGGGGGGCGTACAGCATGCACTCGTCGGAAGTGCACTAAATGTGCGTTATCATTCAGTAAGCTCTGTAGCGGCGGACCCAAAACTCCGTTTGGGGGGCGGGGGGGGGAGGCGGGGGCGGAAATTTTTTAATGATACTATTCTCCCATTCTTTCTTGTGCAAGGGGGGTCCACCCATGTCAAATTGCCCTCGGAAAAGGGGGGAGGGAGCTAGGGGAGTCGACTTTGTTTGGGGGAGGGGGGGCGGCTGCCCCCTTCGCCCCCCGCCCCCCCCTCCCCCCCCCCCCCCACTTGGATCCGCCACTGGCTCTGTTACGTGGAGCTTTGGTGATTTCAGATACGTTGCACGCACGACACTCTCGTACGCTCATTAGTGTATCAGAGTAATCAAGATACGTTTTAGTTTGTTCAAAAGCGTAGCGTGTGAGTAGTGTGCTTTCATATGAAGTTTCTACGTGTCCTACAGCGTCTAAACTAACGCCTTTAAGGCACTTTGAACGGCTTGCAAAAATGGGAGTCACAACGCATTGCGTTGCAATTTACAACAGAGTTGCAAGCAGCTGTTGGAAGTTTACAATAATAAAAATTAAAGAATTACCTTACCTCGTAAAAAAAGAAAAGAAAAAAAAAGAAACGTGTTTAGGGCAATTTACGCCGCCACTTCACAGACGATGTACGCGTAGTGAGAAGTGCTCCCGAGAGATGGCGTACGCCGCGTCGAGGGAGACGCCTTCGGGCTCTTTTCCGCGATTGTCTGCTATCATAACCCAAACCGTCCGGCGCTCCCTCGACGAGGTAAACGCGATCTGTTGTATTTTTTTTTTTTTTTTTTGTAAGCTTTTACTATTTGTTTTCACCTTTGCGGTAAATGGCAGCGCGGTACTTTGAGAATCCGATTTCTGCAGGCCTTAAGAGGGTTGGTCTACATGCTGTACTTCTTCTGAAGGGAATGTGCAGCGCCTTGAGGGGAGCAAGGTTAGAGCGCTCGCTCCGCTACCTGAGGGTCGCTGTGCGAAATCGTAACCTCAAAACTCTGTGACGCTATCCGTTGGTGCGTCGTGGTCCGCCTCATGACGTCATGAGACCACGTGAGGAGCTACGTTTTTCCATTCGCGAGCCAGCTCCGCTTTCCGACGGTCGCCTGCTACCGTAGGTTCTCTCGAGTCATACTTAACACAGCTGCCTGCTTTCCCGTTCGCCTGATCATTGTGGGGCCGAGCAAAGACGTTGGGCTGCGAATATCACGGTCCGGACTTCGATTCACGTGGCACCGCTTGATAAATCTCGCAAAGTACGATTAACTACGCTAAATTATAATAAATTATTTTCAATTAGGACTCAGTGTGTATGATTATGCATTATCTACTATGGGCTATAAATTTGCATTTGTATAAAAAATAGCGCTTCACGGTATTTTGAGTTACCGCGGTCTTAGATGTCATGTACTGACCTCGTCTTAATTGTCTCCTTGTCTGTTTTATGGCCCCAGTCATGAGAGCGGTGGCTATAGCATGGTCGGCGTGGGCCTCACCTTCAACAAGACCTTCGTGGGAGTAGGCGCCGATATACAGACCGTCTTCAACTTGCCGATCGACTTGAAAGTCACCGTTGATCCTATTCACAAAAAACTGAGCCTGAATCGCCCGTTGAGCCTGCCCTGGAACATTGTGAACCACCACTTCCGCCCGTACACATTCGCCATGCCCTACGACCTGGTGTCAGATGTTTCCACAGCTGTCACCGCACTGTCCCAGCCACAGTACCCCCTGTACAACAAGGACGAAGTGACCTCGGTAAGGTTTTGTCTTTGGCAACTAAGCCACGAATATTGTCACGGAGAAAAATGGTTGACAAATGTAAAACGGAAATACACTTTCCATGAGACGAAATTGTGCATACAAACTTAGGGAAAAGTACCACACATACTGTCCCAAGGCAGCCTGTTACCGCGGTTCTTATACACGCAGTCAGTACCGAAATATTCTAAACGAGAACACACAGTGGCATCCGAGAATGAGCTTGTGTTTTTCAGAAGTGTATTGGATTATAAAAGAAAGAACCAGGTCGACCAAGGCCCAGACCCCGTCCCACCGCGTAGTAGCCATGTGCGTTGCCAACTCCGTTACTGGTGATCATAAACCTCATTCAGCAGTAGAAGATTTCAAAGCAGACTTCTGGGGACATAAGAGTCAAAAGTGTACAGCTATTTCCGTTTCTTTATGCCTATTGCGACTTAGAAACTTAATAGTCCAGAGGGACTGCACAGGTACCCTAACCGGATATCATCTTTGTTTTCGTGCAGTTTGATCGTACCTACTTCACCGACCTCCTGGGCTATGGCCTGAACGTAAAGGGCAGTCTGCTCAGCAAGGGACTGAAAAAGGGACTGCACGACTTCTTGTTACACAACGACTGCTCTAAGATGCTATACTACGCCGTTTGGAACCCAGAGTGGCACCCACGGGAACTGCAGCTCACAGTCGTTCCAGATGAGCAGGACGCCACGACTGAGGTGAGTGAGATTTTACTTCTAACTGATAGTGGGGGACCAAAATCCTCATAACTGGTGTATCATGTTTAACCGCCAAGGTTCACCGGTTACAGCGGTTAACAAAAATATAAAGAATTCTTTTTCTAACATTAACGATCGAACATCCACCTTATAAGGGATTAAAGTGTCAGTGTATTTTAATGTGCATTTTTCGTTTGATCCCTAAAGGTTGAGGTCAAGCTCGGCTACGAGTTCCTGGAGCCCGATGACCCAAGAGAGAGCCACTTCCCAGCTAACGACAACGTCCATGGCGATGCTGAGGTTCCTTCCACCCATGTCCTCAACCTCGACTACGCTCTTAAGGGCACCAAGGAACGGAAGGTGTCCGCGGAATTGAGGTACTCTTACACCAAGGACAACTTAAAACACAAAGTGCAGTTCTTCTCCGATAGGACACCCTTCCACTCGATGGACCAAGATCACAGCAAGGTAGTTGAAACCTTTCACTAGAAACCTGAGATATTCTTACCTACTCTAATTCGTCTTTGTAGATCTGCTTGGATGTCACAACCAAGTTCCCAGAGCCCGACTGGGATAGGCTGAACAACCTCGCAGTTTTCCACGAGGGAAAAGAGCTCGAGTTCCAGATGAACATTCATCAGGGAAGCAACTGTATCGACCAAGCTAGTGTAAGTGGTACTTGCATCTAATAACCTCCTTGTAGAAACCTTCTGTTTAATCTATATTTAGTGTTTATAGTTGCGGCATGATTTGGCAGTTTAAGAATCGCAGTGCTTGGCGAGTCCAGATCATTCTATTTTTTTTTTACTGCAGTCAATAGGATTGTGGTTTGAGGCGGTTATAATGCCAAAGCACCAATCACGAAGCAAGGAGCGTGAAATTGATGAGTCATACCTTGCGCTTCTGTATCTGTCAGTCACTATAGCGCTGGTTTGATCCTGTTGTAACCACTTGAGCCTTGTTTGAACGTTATCTTGCAAAGTACCCAAATTGATTCCTGATTGCATCTTTCACCATGTTCTTGGGATAGTGACGTCGCCAAAGATCTTGCCGTTAAAACTGTACTCCAGGATCGCTAAACTCGTGAAACTCAAAGTTGGGGCCGAAGTTGACGGAGCACACCGATTGGCCTGTCACGATGATGACTTCGCGCATTTTTCGCCGACGTCCAATCGGCGCGCTCCACGAACTTTCGGCTCCAGCTTTGTGTTTCACGAGTTTAGGGCCCCAGATCATTTTTGAAACTCAGTCTGGCAAATTTGATCATTATCACCATCATCATCATCTCAGGGTATGTCATCTGTGCGAAACTAATGGCGGCCTCCTTGAGACTGATGAAGGAAATAGTTGAAGATACTACAAATGGAAAGATATATGAGGCATGCACGCTCAAGACGTTAGTACAACACAACGCACGAATTAGATACACCGGTTGCGTACGGGTTTATTTCTAAGTGCGGTCCAATAAATCTATTGGCACAAGAACGGCTCTAAAGCTTTTTAATGGCGGATGGCGGAGCAGCTTTGCACTGGTCTGTTCTTCTACTCACACCATCAAAACTCAAACACGTCAAGAAATGATCATAAGGCAATAAAAAAATTGTCATCCGCCATTGACGCGCAAAAGTGACGGTACCCGATCAAATTCTGTTTCATTACCGTCATTCGTTTGTGGAATGTAAAACTGCTTTTTGAGCACCCAGATGGCAAAGCATTTTGTAAACGATCTATTCAAACCTATAACACGAACATAAAAGGTTTCTTGTAGGTAAGCTTCACGGGGAAGTACACGCACACGGACGACGAAGCGAAGCAGATTCGAGAGAACGCTGAAAGCAAACCGCTGGGAGCCAACCGAATGAAGAAGTACAACCTGCGGGTGCCGTACAACAAGTGTGTCGAGCACCAGAAGCAAGGAGTTCCCCTCAACTACTACTGCATAAAGTACTTGTATTACACGAGCCGCCTGGGCAAACTCACGATGGACATCGTGTACAAGAACCGTTGGGATGTGAGTAGAATTTTCGGAAATTTATTAAACTTTGATTCATTATGAGCGAGGGGTACCTTGAACACACTCTACAACCATGAACTAAATATATTGAAACTCTATTATATTCCTGGAGATTATGCTGGTATAAGTATACTTCGGCAGAAGTAACAAAATATAAATATTGTGAAAAGCGTGTTCGTTTGTGCCAACCTCTATTTCATTATTTTTCCTAAAAGTATATTGTAACTCCTACCTTGATTCAAACATACGCTCAGTATAATGTTTCGCGTCAAATCGACCCATTTAATATGAGCATAATTAACTGAGTTCTTATTAATATCACTCGTGCCACAATTTTTGTGGACCATTTGAGAGGAAAAGCGAGTTCGTTAATTTTTATTTATTTATTTATGGATACCATGGGCTCGTTTGAGTTCAAGCAGGAGAGGACAACATGTAAACATAACAAATTCACAAGAAAACACAAGAAAGAGCAATATGACTTTCTAGAAAAACAAGATATCTTCAGAAAAACTTAAGCGATATTGTGTAAAAAAATATCGCAAGAAGGCTACTTTCCAGCTAGCAGTATTAGACCGTTTTCCAGAGTCTATTGAGCAACATTGGTGATCTCCATTGCTTGGACACGGCACGTGTTATTGGGTCCGAGTCTTCGCCGAACGCTGGCGCTGCACTCGTGTCGAATACATGCTAAGACTTGGTGCCTAAGCAATGGCGGAGAGGAGATGCCGCGGACCTTCGAAAAGGGTATACCGTTTTCACGTTGGAACGAGCCATTGTATTCCAAGCGACTGACTGATTCTGTCTTATGCTATACAAACAAAATTTCAAGACTTCATTTCAAAACACGGAGATTGAGATCAATAAAAAGCCCCCAGCGAATCACTAATCTCAAAATACGAGAAGTAAAAAATATATAGGATGTTCGCAGGGACGATTAATGAGCTAAACTTTATGTCTACTATCCCTGCGTACATTGCATTTCTTAGGCGTAATCGCCTTTTAAGTTTTTTGTCATTTGCAGGGATCCTTCCATTGTGTGCCATAACAAGCGGGTTTCGTGTTTTGCAGTAAAGTGAATTTACAGACCATTTTCGTGATCTGCTCTTAGAATGTTTCCAGTTGCATTCTTCACTGTACTACAGACAGTCTTACATTATGGCCGTGCGAATGCTTGCCGCCTTCTATTTCAACACCGATTATATTTCATGCAGCTGTTCTCCCCGATGCCTCATTACTATAAGAAGATCAACCGGGAGGGCGGTTTCGTCAGCACCCTCTCCGAATACTACCGCCGCGCAACAAGCGGCAAGCTCCACGTCGTCTCCCAGGTGCCCCCGGTTGAGAAGTACGCCGACATCGCTGTCACCACGGAGGACGGGCGCATCTACAACCACTTCCATGTTCCGATCTACAGCCACTTACTCGAGCCTAAGATTTTCCCTATGCTGGGATACTCAAACATGGCTAACTACATATCCTACTACAAACACAGTAAGTGATTTTTACGCAGTTACGTTTTAATGATTGTATAATAGAATTACAAATCAATACTACGTAAATGCGGGGAAAACGTAGGACCAAGAAGAAGGACTCGACTCGCGGAACGCTCTTTCTGTTCATTTCCTACTTCGTCCCCTTTCTCTTGTTGCGCTTTTACGTACTCATCATGAACAAACTAGCCCATTCGCACGTTGCGTTAAATTAACATTCTTCAAGAATGTATGGCGGTATCAGCAGAACGTAGTACCATAATCTTGTAACACTATGGTGCCATATTTTAAAGTCACAATTCACTCACGAATCCACCATATTGTCGCACTTAGTCACACCCGCTCGCACTAAGAAATCAGTAACCTACATCCCGCGCATTAGTTCATTGGACCAGTTTGCTGAAACTAACAGCGAGATGAAGCATTTCGAGAGCGCTATAGGTCACTCTATACCCAAGCAGCACAGATCTTGACCAAACAATGGCCAATGTCTGGCGATGGTCTTTTGGCCAATGGCCAGGGAGTGGCCATTCATTGGCCAATGCTTGGCCGATGGCTGATGGCCCGTGGCCAGATAAAGGCCAGTCACCGGCTGGTCTCTGGCCACTGTCTGGCCATTTGGCCAAGGACCATTGCCAGCCATTGGCCGATGACTGGCCAACTCTGTGCTGCTTGGGTAGTGTGCGTCTATGGAATAAGGGAACATAGTGCACTCACAAGCAAAGATTACTTTAGAGAGACTGGAGCGTTTCGCTCCGCTCTACGCTGAAATATATTCGAGATGTTCGGTGCGGAACAGATCGCCATAACTGATATGCACAGCTGTGCATATCAGGTGGTTTATGATCAGTTTCAACGTGGTTGAGTCTAAGCGTAAATAGAAAAAAAAATAGCCAATAAATAAAAAAGTACCTGCCTGTTATTGGTTATAATCATTTACATCTTAGCGATACTAAAAAAATATGCGACGATCTTTCTTTTTCATTTAATTGCCACGTAACAAAAAAAGTAACCATATAGATCAAAAAGGTTGCATTTTATTTTAAGTAACACTATATAATCCTAGATTGCAGGCATAATAGTATGCATTCATTTAAGATTCCAGAAGTATAATGCCCAATTTGAATATTTCGCTGGTGTTTACGCTAGATGGCTCGCGACAATTGAGGCACCTCAAAGGCCAGCTAGTTGTGAATATGCAAGATATCTAAAACTCGCCAACAATTCTAGTATTCATTATCTTGGTCTGCCGAACCATCCTTGTAACCTGGACTGAGCGCAAGTGGACAAAAACCAGAATTATTTTTCAACGGTAACCTACAAAAAAATAGTCAGAGTGCAGGCGAGCTGGTGTAAGTTGAACATGAACAGAAAAGAGAACACAACAGAATGTAGAAAAAGAGGAGGCAACGTCTCAAACTCAGCTGCAAAGTTTATTTCGAACACGATGACACGACTATACTCTGTTTCACCTTGTGTTGTACCGCAGGAAAGGCTACACGCGCGAGCTCCTTGCTCTATGGCACACCTCGGCGGCACAAGCTCTCGTGCACCAAGGGCAGCTGCTAACGCTATGAGCTCGCGCTTCTAGCCTTCGCTGCGGTACAACATAAGGTGGAACAGAGTATAGTGATGGCACGATTTTTTCCTCCTACACGCAGAGTACTGCGACCTGCAAGGGAAGAGCGTCAAAACCTTCGACAACGTCATCGTACAGCTTCCGGAAACTGACTGCTACAAGGTGGTAGCCAAGGACTGCTCGCCCAACAAGAGGTTCACGGTCCTGGCACGTTCTACCGGAAACGCCGCACTCCCCAAGGTACCGTGCTCGTGTCGTTGCATGTCTTGTTGTTATTTTTATTGTTGTTGTTTTTATACTTTTAAATGACCTTGACCACATTTAACAGACTCTTCGGTTCCCTTTCCCGCGGTACGGTTCTTAGAATAGGACAGAAAAACCGCGTAATCCCGCGTTTCTTTTATTTCACTGCCTCATTGCGACTGCAAGTCAAACGGGTCTGCATTCAAACAATATCAGTTGGCGTTCTTTCCTTTTAATGAAAGTGATGAAAATACAGAAGCCATCAGATCCTAAATTCTGCGGTAGTGTGAAAAGTTCTAGTAGTTAGCTAAAAAAACATTAGAAGTCATCAAGGCGAAAGACCAATCCCGAAAGTTGCTTGAATGTACGCTTACTGTTGGGAACAAAACTTCACCGCCTCAACTACTGCCCTGAAAATACTGTTTCCGCTGCATTCGAAATTTTTACGGGATTTTTGGACTCTAAGGGTAAAAAAATTCGTAGATCGCGATAGCAGCGTTGTGTTACGTAACATGTACAGCGCGTCCTTATCCTGAAATGGTATGCATGACCTTTCAGTGCGCAGCTTTGCCCAGTGTCAAATTGTTCCATTCATGTAAGCACTTATTATTTAAACGCGCATCCACATTGTGGTCCCCTGTCCTTCCTCAGTTTTCTTTCGAGCCCCAAAACAAAGCAAACACCGCAATCATCTCATGCCTCTTTGTGCCCTTCTACACACCTGGTAATTTAGTGTTCAATTGACATCAAAGTCCACAACCACGTTGGCTACAAAACCTGAAATTTACAGGCACCATTTACAGGCACTCTCCCTCCGTGATTCTATTGCAGGCGCTGAAGGCATTCATCCAGTCCACCCAGGTAGAGCTCCTGCCAGTTGCCGAAGACTCCGGGCTTGTGCTCCGCGTTGACGGAAACAGAGTTCCACTGACCCCGGGAGTACCTTACAGTCACACCGCGCACGAAGTCGAGCTCTTCACGGTCAAGATGGAACACAACTACTTCGAAGTGACGTCGAAGCCGTACGGGCTCTACCTGGGCTTCAACGGAAACATGCTCGTTGTACAGGTAAGAAAACTAATGGAACTAGTTCTTGTTACCATGGGACATCCTTGGCTCATGGTACACAGACAAGGATGGATTCTTTTTAAAGGCGCATCAATGGTCAGTGTATGTATCGGTGTTCTAAGCCCTCTAAATAACAGAACCAATCACGTACATCATAAAAATAAGATCCGAAAGCATTAAGTGGAACAAACAAATTAGTTTCTTTAAACAAGTGGAGGGCGTGCATGCTATGGTGAGTGATAATTTAAGAACCACAGGGCTTCACGCCTTACATTTCTTGAGCTGTCAATTGAATATAGAAGCCAATAACGAGCTTGCTTATCATTGTATTTTGAGTAACCATATTTCCTCAAGGGGAAAGGTTTGCAGGATCTTTCCTTGTATGGCTGGTGATTTGAACTCGATGGCCTCACGACAAACTTCCTTACTCTCCTCTCTCAGACCGCCAACTTCTACCGCGGCAAGCTGTGCGGCCTATGTGGCAACTACAACTACGACCGGCAGCACGAGCTTGTGGGCCCCAACCTCCACCACTACAACGACACCCTGGAGTTCGCAAAGAGCTACGTCGTTCCCTCCTCCGACTGCACCCCGCCCTGAGCACAACCTTGCATCAAACCCGTCGATGAATGTTATTTCGGCCACTCCGCGCGAGTAGTGATTGACTTGTAAGTGCTGAAATCAAGTATGCACCAATACTATGACTGCTAGAACAAGGGTTACTGCTAGACAACAGGACGGCGGTGTTTGAGAACGGTTTACTAAAAATGGGTTGTCAAGAACATCACTGCGTTCTCACTCGTCCTGAAGAAGGCAGAGATTTATTTTTTGACAGCAGAGATAACACAATGGACTACTTCCAAAACCGACGCGCCCCATCGCGGCGAAATACCACGCAGTGCGCTCTGGGAACTAGTTGGCCACTCAGTTTCGGTTTCGACTGAGCAGCTTCACCTCATGCTATCACTCCGCGACCGAACGCGCTGCTTGCGTTTTCGATTATCTGACTTTTCACGAACGTACAATAGACTCATTCTCGAGCGATACAAAACGAAGACCGGGGCACTTTCCTTGGCTCCCGAAACACCGGATATTGTGCGTGCGTATGCGAACGTAGTAAGACGTGGCTAAGTCACCTCACCCTACGAGTGCATATTTGAGCTCAATTTCAATAATCCCGTCTAGTACCACTGAACTAGAACTGAAATTTGTTCATCAGGAGCCTTATACGTATTTTGTTTGCCAAACGTCCGTTTCTTGTTACTTCATCGGACGAAAAGAAAGCCGCATCCTCACGGGGTATCAAAGTTGCGCCCAGCGCTTACGCATGAGCTTTTAAGGAAACACAATAAATTCGACCTCACTACTGCACAAAAGTTACTATGATCTCTTCCTCGTGTCATCATATATCTCCCACTCGAATTTTATGCTGGTAGAAGATTAATTTCTCGCAAACGCTGAGATCGGCTAGCTACGACGCAGGCCCTAACAAGCGTCCCCTACTCCTCGCTAAGCCTTTTTGGACGAGCTTTTACTGACGCCCAAGATCTGCGCCTGAACGGTTTGTCTGAAATTATCTCGGCATACTCAGGCAGGAAAAAAACAAACACAAAACAAATATTATGTCTATTAGCAACCGTCAAACGCGCTTTGAATTCGTTCGAGCACTTGTGTGAAGAATGTCGCACCGTGCGCCGGACGGGCATGAAACCCCTATGCGGTGCGCATGGGGGTTCATGCCCGTCCGGCGCACTTCTGGGGAACGGTGCGACATTCTTCACACAAGTGCTCGACTTTCGCTTTTTCAAAACGGTCTGTATGTGCGAATTTGCCTATATGATTGCAGGATAACTTTATGTGCATACACATGTTGAATATTAATGGAATGCAAGCGGGTGGGGACTTCACTTCGTGCAGTGCTGCGGGTCAGTACAGATAAGAGATAAGAAGTGTGTCAAAATTGAGCTTTTCAATGGCGCCTCCGAGTTTTACCTCGCACACTCAGGCATATTAAGAAATACAGTAATTGCAAAAAGTAATATTTCATCTATGGACGCACGAAACAAACAAACTTCCTGATCAACAACACTAATGTAAAGGCGCGAGCTCGATGTATGCATACTTATTGGTTGCTACAGCTTGCTGATTCGTATACAAGCAAGATCCCCGAGCTTCGCAGCGTCGAGATTCCCAGCACAGGCTCGTCCACATACCTCGATTGGAACGCTAACAGGAAGGCTCAAGTACAAAAATACAACAAGCATGTGTTAAGACAAGCTATACGTCTCAGGCTTGTGTTAAAGCTTCGAGGCCTGGCCATTTAGGTTAGTTTAGAGACCACAAATGACGCTCTCGGTACCAGAAAACCATCTCTTGTCGACGTGTCAATCGAAACCGAAACCATGCCACCCTTTTCCCTGGCCAACTAGTTCCCAGAGTGCAACGCGCGCCGTGTTGCATGCAGGGCTTTATGGAAGTAGTCTATTGTTTCAATCACTCTTGCGGTATTCTGGTATTATCTTTTCTCTCAGTTAATTATTTTCCGTACTGTACCATCTTCTCTGCCTTCCTTTCCCTCCGGCTTACCTTTAACTCCTTGAACTTCTAAGGGGTGCTCGACTTGGTTCACATTCGGAAAAAATAAACATCTCTGTTGCTAGCATAAAAGGGTGCGCGAATTGTCCCGGTTCATATTTGGAAAAAATAAACATCTCTGTTGCTAGCATAAAAGGGTGCGCGAATTGTCCGTTTGTTACCTAAATTACTCATGCCAGCCTTTTTAAACATTCTGTTTGTATAGTCTTATTGGTATCACAACCATAGATTTAGGCGTAAAAGTTTAATAAATAACTACAAGGTCAAAGACCACCTTGGGCACGTCAGCACTTTATTGTGTAGCATTTCTATATAGTTCACTCTGGTGTCTCGCAGAGGGTGAGGTAGTCGTGTGATCCTTCACATAGTGCCAGAAATACTTCGACAGCCAGTTTCGAATGATTTAGGTTAACTGACAATAGAAGGTTTTTCTACGCCTTTTCAATGCATTATCGCGCACCTGAGGTTCTAGTAACTTGTTCCAATAGAACCTCGAATGTATATCACTTTCTGTAATATCGTCACTGACAACTTTAAAAAAACAAGAGCACACAGAAAAAAAAATTAGATCTTTTCTTTTCGCAGCCTTTACGTTGTTAGACGAAATTTAGGGCGGGGGGGGGGGGGGGGGGGGGTTCTCTCGGCCACGCCCGGCATGCTTACAAAACTAAGCACCTTTTCTCGGATGTTATTGCTTGGAGAGATGATTGACGTGTGAAATGTTCGTTGTAAAATTGTTTCTTCGTGCCGTCATAGTATTTTCATTGAAAATAATATTTTATGATTGAGAAACAGATAATCTAGATGTAGTCATTTTTATTTTCAATAAAATTTAACAGATCTGGCAGCTGGTGCTTGCGGCGTGGTCAAAGAGCTCGTTTATTTTTATGAGAGTGAGTCGTTTCGCGTTCAACCGTTGTTTTTGTAGGAAGATGTCCTCAACTGGCCTACAGGGTGAAACAAGGAGACGGCAGGCTCTTTAAATCGACCGGAAAATTCGGTTTCTAAACCTATCGCGCTACGACTTTGTGCAGCGATGCCCACAGATGGTGCTTTTTTTTTTTTTTTTTTGTAGGATTTGCAAAGAGCGAACTTACCTGAGGAAAAAGTAAAGAAAGAAAAAGGCTTAGCTCCTATGGAAACGCAGCGAAGCCTCTGGTCTGCAAACAACACGGCGCCGTTTCGCACGGGAGACAAGAGATGGCGCAAGCGGTCGCGACGCCAACTGCCGCCAACGAACGAGCAGACGACGCCGAGAGCCGGCCCTTTTTGCAAAGAAGGGACTGCAGTTCCTTGCTGTTAAGCGCGAAACACATGTACGACGAAACCGTCCGATCCGACGTGCGGACTGCCGGAATGACCTTGGGGAGAGAGGGTTTTCGTAGCATCGGAGAGCGTTGAAAACCCTCGCCTCCGACCGTCGTATTGCGCGGTCGGACGTCGGATCGGACGGTTTCGTCGTACATGTGTTTCGCGCTTTACCGCGCTTGTCTTTTTTTGTTTCTGCGACTGTCGCCGCCTGCGGAACGCGCGCCGCTTTTGAGTCAAAAAGATCGTCTGCTAAAAAGGCCTGCTCTCGGCGCCGTATGCTCGTTCGTTGGCGCAGCGTTGGCGGCGTTTGTTGCACCATCTCTTGTCTCCCGTGCGAAACGGCGCCGTTTTGTTTGCAAACCGGTGGCGTCGCCGCGTTTCCATAGGAGCTAAGCCTTTTTCTCTCTTTACTTTTTCCTCAGATAAGTTCGCTCTCGCAAATTTTACAAAAAAAAAAAATGCACCATCTGTGGGCAACGCTGCACAAAGTCGTAGCGCTATAGGTTAAGAAACCGAACTTTCCGGTCGATTTAAAGAGCCTGGCGTCTCCTTGTTTCACCCTGTAGTTTCCAGCAAACAACTTTCGCAAGTAAGCCTGTGCGCGGAAGCGCTGTGCGGGTGCTTGGGTTCGTGGCTTGACTAACCTAAGCCAAGCGTTCCTTGTCAACTACGTTGCCGGATCTGGCTAGATTTGTTCCTTTGCGAGTGTTGGTGCTGAATAAATTGTCGATTCCCGTGAAAGCGGCCTCGCGGCTTTGTAAATTGTGCGACGGTTGTGATTTCAACCATGGTTTCATACCAGGAAGATACCTACAGAGGTAAGAATTTGTGAGCCATGTGGCTGGAGGCAATCGGGCGTTCAGCTCACATATTAAGTTTGTCTGTGTTCCCGTCATTTCGTTTCGAAAGGCAAATAGTTCTGAAGGTTTGCAGCGCCCCTGGCCTGCCAAAGCGAATAATTTTAGGTCACGTGTTAAGAGTGCGTAATGACGCTCCCTCGCCTTGCTCGAGGATGCAATGAGAAAACAAAATAACAAAAAGCTGGAATGACTGTATAGATGTATATATATTAGTCTTTTCGGTCGCTTTTTACTGAACTTGGACAGACGCTGACAGACGCTTGTATTCAACCGTGGTTCGTGCATGCTGGAACACTAAAACGCCGCGCTTTCATGGTCGTGTCTTGAGAGCGTTGTAAAAGTTTTCAGACGGGGGGCGGAATAGGAGGTAGAGGAAGACGAAGAGGGACGCCGACGCGCAGCGTTCATCCCCGCGTCCTGCGGGCATTGCGGACGACGACAGCCGGTGGTGAAATAGCAGAGGATACCGGAAGCTGCTTTGCGTCTGCTCGCACGACAAGCTGTCGGTGTCAGACGCCAGGCTACGCGCACAGGATGTCCCGAAAGGGAGATGTAGCGGACAAGCGATAACTATTGGGAACATCTGCCATGCCAAGACGCGTAAGAGTGATGCAACGCCGCTTGACGCAAGTGTGGCGCGTACCAGACATTCCTATGGTTATAGCCAACAGAAGTTTCAAGCGTCCAGCCTCTATGTTGGCTCAAGGTGGGCAGGTTTAAGGCGGTTGATAAAGATGGTGTCTCGCCGCCCGTTCAAGTCTAGTGCAAAGAACTTCTCTCGTCTGTCCAGCACCTTGAAGGGACCGTCGTTGGGTTGGTCGAGCGGTTTCCAGACTGCTTCCTGTCGTCCTACTAGGCCTGGGCACTAGCCTCAAGACAGAC